CTGAATTTCAAAGAAACTGTGAACCTGATAGAGTTATGGGGTAGTCTTTTATTTTTACTTTGTTTTTGAAAATGTTCAGGGATTACTCCTGGCTCTATACTCAAGGATCATTGTTGAAGGTCCTTGGGGAACAGCATGTAGTGATAGGAATCAAACCTGGGTCATCTGCATACAAGGCCAGCACCCAACTCATTGTACAATCTCTCCAGTCCTGTGGTAGTCTATTAAAATGCTGCTGGGGTCACAACATGGAGACTGCAGGGGAAGACGATGATACCTCAAGATGTAAATAGTTTGCATTTTTAATTGTATCACGGTGAGATATATTTACAAGCTTTCATGTTTGAGATACAATCATAATCATGCAATGATCAACATGGAGAGTATCATGCTAAGTGAAATGAGTCAGAGAGAGAAACAGACATAGAAAGATTGCATTCATTGGTGGGATATAAAGTAACAGAATGAGAGACTAACACCCAAGGATAGTAGAGATAAGGTCCAGGATGACCTCTCCATGACTTGAAAGCTGGCCTCACATGCTAAGGGAAAAGGCAGCTGGGATAGAAAAGGGACCACCAAGTAAATGAAGCTTGAAGGGCTTGCTCGGGATGGAGATGTATGTTGAAAGTAGACTATGGATCAACCATGATGGCCACTTACTACCTGTATTGCAGACCATAACACCCGAAAGGAGAGAGAGAGAGAGAGAGAGAGAGAGAGAGAGAGAGAGAGAGAGAGAGAGAGAGAGAGAGAGTAAAAGGGAATGTGCCTGCAATAGAACCAGGGAGGGGGGTTGATAGGGTAAGGGTGGCCGAAGGGATGCTGGGAACATTAGTGGTAGAGAATGGGCACTGGTACAGGGATGAGTACTTGATCATTGTTATGACTAAAACGTTACCACAAATATTTTTAAGTCTATAACTGAATCTCACAGTGATTCATTAAAAACAAATAAATAAACACACACAAATATACATGAAAACTGTAAATGCTCGAAGAAAACAGTCAGCAGTCTTAAGGCTTTTGATTTTTTGGGGGGTCCCTACTTCCCAAGCAATCGTAATGCTCTCTAATTATAGCAGAGCCTGAGGACTTGGTGGGCTCAGATCCAACAGTGCTGTGAGTTACAAATGCCACACTAAGGGTGTTCAGGAGTCTCTGGACTGTGACTGGTGATATATATGAAGAATTATGTGGTGCCAGAGTTCAAACAGGGTCCCTTTGCTATCTGCCTTGTCTCAAATCTTTTTGTTCGATTCCTCCGCCCCTCTCGGAGAGCCCGGCAAGCTACCGAGAGTATTCGATATGCCAGACACAGTAACAACAAAAGTCTCCAATGGAGACGTTACTGGGCCCGCTCGAGCAAATCGACGATCAACGGGAGGGCCTTTACCTTTACCTTTACCTTTACCTTAACTAAACTTGAATTTTCAGGCAAACCAACTACAAACTCTTCCCTTCTGAAAAATATTCACAAGAAACAGAACCCTTTCAAGAAAATAGTTTCTTAAATGTATGAAGCAAGCCAAGATTTATAACTGCACTCTCTAATTGGAAGATTTAAAGGAAAAAGAAATTCTTAAGATAGGCATAATTAAGGTTCTTATCAAATGTGAAATATAAGCAATTTCTCACTGCTTTGAAGTTCATTGCAAAGTGTCATAGAGGTTCAGAGTCATGAGTCACTTTTATCCTCAGAGTTACCATTTCTTTGGAATTGGAATGTGATGAATTAAAGTGATTTGTGTGTGTGTGTCGGGGAGGGGTACCCACATATAAAATATATTCCAGTACAAAGACAGCACATTTCTCTGTTTTGCCAATATTTTAGAATACTCTGTGCAACATTTTCATTAACATATAAATTTTGGATGAAAGAAAAACAGTTACAGAAAAGCTAAACAGTCATTTGATTTCTTTCCTCCTCAAATACCGAAGGCACCATGTAGGGATTTTAGCCAGTTGACGCGAATGTGGGGAGGATTTTCTATTTGTGTTCTGGAATGCACACATTCCTCTCTGCAGCATCACTGCCTACTGAGAACATTCTCTGCTGGAGAAGGAATAGCCCAGCTTGGAAGCTCCGGAGTGCAGAGTTCCTGGTGCCATAAGATCTGGGAGGAGCAGGATAGAAATGCTGCTTCCCATATGGAGGTTCCTTTCAGTGACATGAGAATAGGTTCTATCTTTTCTTTTTATTGATGGTGATGGTGATGATGAGGGGGTGATGAGGAGAGAAGATCTATTGCTTACCAAAAGGCGGGCAACTTTCTGAATACCTTAGTTGAACTAAATTTGACACTCCCGTATTTAGAAATGAGATACTATGATTATTACTACTTAAATATAGGGAGAAGCTGTGGCAGATGATAAAGTAATTCCCATAAGGTCATATAACTGGGAAGTGTCAGTTTGATAGCACAGCCTAGAAAATCACCATTCCAGGGCTGAAGAGATAACACACAGTGATGCTTGCCAGGTTTGATCCCCAAACAAACACAAACAAAATAAAACAAATCACTGTTCCTCATAGTATGTTGTTCAAAAACATTTCAAAGTAAAACTCACAGAGAATGTTTCACATTGAGTTAAAATGACCAGGAAGTTGAAGCTGGGATTTGAAAAACATTGACAACACCTGTTTATTGTCTTATCCCTTCCATGAGGCCTCAAATCCATTCTCTGTGGTCGCCATGGTGATGTTATCAAAAAATAACCTATGTATTTTTTTCTGTGATAAATGCTAAAGTGATTCATCACTACCTTGGGATGAAGCACACATCCGTTTGGACACAGGACCCCTAAGCTAACTCCCAAGCTGATGAAGGCATTGTGAGGATTTCTGAGAGAGGTCTAGAGACTTCTGCAAACCTACACATGACTCCTGCACCAATTCAGACAATTTCCTGAGGTGTAATGACAGAGAAGACACTTTAAAACTAAAGTCCGAAATGATAATCACAGAAGATGAAGAATTTGACATGGAAACCCCAGAAATGATCTAGTACTGCAGGAATTCACAGGCTATGACATGATTGGGAAGAAAATTTCATAAAAGAGATGTAGAGGCATCTGAGGAAAGTGTGGGCAGCAAAGACAGACCAAAGACTATTGTTCTTTTCTCCCCACTAGACAATAATGGGTTTAGTTGAGATAAGGTTGCGGATGAATCATGTATGGAGCATAAGAATGAGGTCCTACAAAATATGCCAAATTAGACAAAATGGGAACCCACTCATACCTAACTGATCATTTCATTTTCAGATAACACATGATAGCAATTTAATTAGACGAGTGTCCAACAAAATATGACAAAATGGGCACGCACTCGAAACTAACTGATTATTTCATTTTCAAGTGATACATGATAGCAATTTAATTCAATGGCTAGAAAGTATACTTTCTTTTTTTCTGGTTTTTGGGCTACACCAGTTATATCCAAGAATTGAACCTGGTCGGCAATGTACAAAGCAAGTGCCTTATGCTTTTGTGCAATTTCTCTGGCTAAAAGTATACTTTTAAAAAGGCAATGTGGGCCAGAGCTATATAGTACAGCAGTAGGGAACTTGCCTTGTACAAGCCAATCTGGGTTTAATCCTCAGCATCCCATAGGGCCTCTGAGACCCACAAGGTGTATGAGTTCTGAGTGCAGAGCCAGGAGTAAACCCTCAGCAGCACTTTGTGAGGCCTCCTGATCCCCAACAAACAAACGGAAAGACATGATAGAATAATTTGATAGTACCACTTCAACTGTAAGCTTAGCCATCGTTTTAGAAAACCTGTATTATTGAATTCTGGAATGGAAACTAAAATATATTAAAATGTTAGGTTTCACATAACTTTAGAGAACAAACCTTAGAAAACTTGAGAAACAAACCTTGGACAATTTCTGCAACCTATAAAACTAACACCCGTTTCAACCATTAGTTTTGAAATGCTAAACCTGCCCTTTTGGTGACTATATCTGCAAAAGGTCCCAAAGAAATTAAGTACAAACAAAACAAAACAGCAACAACAAAGAAATCCATATTACATCCTCTAGTTCATTTAGCAACAATGAGTTACTTCATTCTGCTGACAAGTCTTTCAACAAGTTGAACTATATTTCCCCCTCATCTTTTCTGATGTTTTCTTTAAAAAAATTGTTTTACCGTTGCCTCAAATTAGCTGAGCAAACACCAAAAAAAGGGCTATGCCAATTTAAGGAGAACAAAGCACTATTAGCACATATTTACATTTTCTTTCTCTTAGACACATCTCTTTTGTTGTTGTTTGTTTGGGCTACACCTGGTTGTGCTCAGGGCTTACCCCTGGGTCTGCACTCAGATGGGGACCATCTGAGGTGCTGAGTACTGAACTTGGGTTGGTGGCGTTCAAAGCAAGCTCCCTACCCACTGTATTGTCACTTTGGTCCTTGACTCATATTTTGAGCAAAACTTGTTTTCCTCAAATTTGAGGAGGGAAATATTTTCTCCTTTTATTCGTCCAGAACAGTTTGGAGGACAAGTGTATTTTGCTTTCTGAATTTATTAAACAACGTGGACTTCTCATTAATTTAATTTTTTCTTAATGTCTATAACAAACTGACAAAATGTAAGGCAAATACAATGCTACCACAAAAGTTTAAGAATATATTTAGAACTGGATCTATTCTAGCTAATACTTTGTTAAGCATATACTTTGTTCAGACTAACTTCAATATTTAACTGAATGTTAATAATACAAAATAGCTATCCTGGTATTCTAGAAATTAAAATTATTAGAAGTACAATATTATGCTAAAATACAGAGCAACTCAGAATAACTTAAAAGAAAGTTGACTAAATGAGAAGTTTACTAAATTTTGTCAATATCTATATACTATTATTTTCAGATAAATTTATTCACTATTTTCTACATCCCCCATGAAGGAAAAAAGTCAAGAAACCTCATACCTTTTCATACTTTAAGCTTATGCAATGAGTTATATAAAATCCAAGTTAAAACTGGTGACTTACCTTCAATGTATTAAAAATCCCACTGGGGAAATAAAGACAAGCAGCTGGAGCACTGAGCTAGAATGGCTCAAACTTTTCCATGACTTGCAGAGTGAAAGTGAACGATTTCGGTTCCACTAACTATGAGGACAAGAAAAGTCTCACGTGTTTGGCCTTGTATCATGTTTCATCCATTCGTATTAGCAACAGGCATATCTAATTTTACTCAGTGACATAAATAGCTCAGAGCACACTTAAAATTGTTTGGGCACCAATTCCAGGACATAGTTCTAACTGTGCCAAAAAAAAAAACCCTTATAAAACCAACATTTAAACTCTGACTCATGATAGTCTTATGTAACCATAACTTTCTAAAGTAAACTTTATCTTAAATGGACAGCAACAAAACTTGTGAGACTAATTTTTCATAAGAACCTAACATGGACAAAATCTTATGAAAATTTAAAATGTAACATTTAGACAGTGTGATATTTACTAGTATTAAATGTTCACCAATCCAACCTCACAAAATAGTGTGTTGTCATTTAATCATCGAGTTTCTGTACAGGGATGTGGGTCAAGTGGCTATAAACTCAGTCTCTGGCATTGCCTGGTCCCTGAGTATATCCAGAAGTGCCATCTCCCCAAGCCACTTTTTTACTGAAAACCTTTAATATTTTTTCAAAAGAAAACCTTAAATAATGATTATTCTAAGAAAAATATAAATTATATGTTAAAACTATTTTTTCCAACTAAATTCATTGCTGAATGAATGATGTGAACATAAACATTTTAAAAACTTCATTTACAAAGAGTACCAGTGAGAATGATGACTTAATTCTATGAGGTGTAAAGAAAACCAATAATATATCAAACTTTTAAATAACCTTTCTCTTTTACTTGACATTTGTGGCCTGTTTTGTAGCATGAACTGAAATTGGCTAAATTGTATTCTTAAGAAATTTATATATTAGCTCTATGAAAGGCTAAGTAATGAGAAATCATATGCTTATTTTTTCTTTTATTATCTTCTCAGGAGACCATTTCTCTTGTTCTATTTTTTAACGCTTTCTTTGAAATTTGATGCTCTTTATCCCCGACAGCTGCAAACTTTAAATTAAAAGTTACAACTAATCATTTATTTAAAAAACATTCAAGTCTTTCATGATTTCTATGCAAATTTTTATTAGTACACTTCAGTTACATAGTACATCTATTAATTCATAGCAAAACTAATATATTTATCTAAGATGCTATAAGATAAATTTTTTGTGTAAATATATATCTGAAAAGTCAAAATTTGAAACTCCTAACTTAATATTCTGGTTCAAATGTCACACATTTAAAGGTTACATTTGAGAGACCTTTTCAATCAGTAAATTGGTTTTATAGTAATGAACTTTTCAGTGCTTGGAGGACTCTTTTATAAAACTATTAGTCAAGTTATTTATTTGATATTCATTCACACCTACAAATTTCTCTCACACTGCAACTTCTACGTTTGGTTGTACAAAAGGATGAGTTTGAGAAAAGAATCAATCACTTAATCACTTTGAGAAAAGAATTGAGCCTTTCAATTTTATAGAACAGCTGAGAAATTATTAAAATATTGCACTGCACTGCACTCCCATTATTCATCAATTTGCTAGAGTGGGCCCAGTAACCTCTTCATTGTAAGACTTGTTGTTACTGTGTTTGGCATACCAAATACGTCACGGGTAGCTTGTCAGGTTTTGCAGTGCTGGTGAGATACTCTCGGTAGCATGCTAGGCTCTCCGAGAGGGGTGGAGGAATCAAGCCTGGGTTGACCAGGTAGGCTGCATGCAAGACAAACACCCTACCTACTGTGCTATTACTCCAGCCCAATATTAAAATAAATTCTCCAAAATGTTTAGAGTAACTCGAGCTTAAGTTTGTAGCTAACATTCACATATCTCATAGTCTATGTTTTATTTTTGTCACTGTGATTTCAATACTGCTAATTCATGCATATAATGTTCCAACCCCACACCCTCCCCCAGAGTGTCCACTTCCTTCTACCATTGTCTCAGCACCCCCTCCTCCCAGAAACCCCCCCTCAGTCCTTACTCCTATCTCCCTGTCATGATAAGCTCAGCTCCGTAGAGCAGGTCTTAGGTTCTTTACTACCTTGCTATGTTTCTTTATATTGCATATATGAAAGAGAATATTTTGTATCTGTCACTCTCTTTCTTCTGACTCAAATCATCATTTAGTAGCAATTTTCATGCTTTCATCTTATAGCCAAGTAGTGTTCCATTGTGTAAATATACCATGATTTCTTTATCCAGTTCTTGGACACTTGAGTTGTTTCCAGATTTTGGCTATCGTGAATGGTTCTGCAATAAACATGTGAGTGCAAATGTCCTTTTATGAATAAAGTTTTTAGGCCATTGAGGTAGATGTTCAGAAATGGAATCGCTGAGTCAGATGGAAGTTTAATTCTTAGTTTTTTGAGAAATGTACATGTTGTTACCCAAAAGGGTTAAACCAGTCAACATTCCCACCAGCAGTGGATGAAATTTCCTCACTGGAGTGAGATGATATCTTATTGTTGTTTTGATTTACATTTTTCTGATGAAAGACCATTGCAAGGCACTTTTTCATATACTTATTCGTCATATGTATGTCTTCTTTCAGGAAACTTATGTTTGTCTCTTCTCCCACTTTTGACGAGGATTATTTTGTCTTCTTTAAGCCTTTCAAGTTTTTATATCTTGTATATATGTGATTATATGCACATATGCATTAAATTCTTCTATATATGAATAAATTATTATTGATTGAATATTGAATATACATGCAACTCTTCTGTGCACATTCAATACAATTTCTACAAAAATAACAGTAACATTTTTTAAAGACAGAGGTCAAATATTACTGAAATTTATATGAAGCAATAAAAAGCCAAAGCAATTCAGAAGAAAAAAAAGAGATAGAAGGGTTTTCTTTTCTCAACTTTAAATTATGCTACAAAGCTATAATAATCCAGACAGTGTAGCTGTGGAATGAGAAGAGACTCTCAAACCAGTGTAAGAGAAATGACAACCCAGAGACAGACATACAGATATATGGTTATTTAATCTTTGGTAAAGACACTAAGAGTATGAAGTGGAGGAATGAAAGTTTCTTCAGCAAGTGGTGTTGGGAAAGTTGATCAGTCAGTCATATGTAACAAAAACTAAAAAATGAACTTGAACCTCTATCTCACACCATGTACAAGTGTAAATTAAAAATGGATTGACAATCTCAATATCAGACCAGAATCTATCAATTATATCAAGGAGAACTTTTAACTACACTGAATCTAGAAACATATTCAGTGATTTGATACCATTGGTCAAGCAAATGGAAGCAAAATGAACAAATTGGATGGCACTAAACTAAGAAGTTTCTGCACCATAAAAGAAATGATGACGAGTGCCAGAGCAAATACAGCAAGTAAGCAGTTCCCTTTCACATCACATCCCTGACCCAGGTTTGATCCTTGACACCACACATGTTTCTCCAAGCCCCGCCATAATGGTCCTTGAGATCAGAGTTAGGAGTAAGTCATGAGCACAATGAAGTGTGATATCAAACAAAACCAAAAAAAAAAAAAAGAGCTGGGAGAAAATATTTGCTTACCACTGAACTTATATTTTTTAATAGATCATAACATTTTAAACAATGAAATACTTAGAGAAAACACTCTACTACCCCACTTTATATATATGTATATGTATATATACATATACATATATATATAGTAAGTTTGCAGTGATACTGAGGCCATGGCTAGAATGACTTTGAAAGACCTTGGATTTCACTATAAAAAAGTTTTTTGGCATAGGACCAAAAGCTGTAGGATCTTTCTGGGTTCAACCCCCACCATGCTGTGGTTATCAGTTAGCAATGCTAGACCCCTCTTGACTTCCTTTCCTTTCTGTTCCCTTCTCTGTAAGGGAAGAAAATCTGGCAGCAAATCTTGCTGCTTAGCTCCACTATTAAACTGGAGAGACCAATTTTAGAATTAGTGAAAATAGGGCATCTTCCCCATTTTTGATGTTGACGTGAAGTAGAAGCTATTTATCTGGGAAGAGGAAATAGTGATAAAGACCAAGTCTGAAATGAACAGGAAGTAGGGAGTAGTTTCCACAGAAGGCTAAGGGGTAAATGATTAGTGTATTGAGGGAAGTTGTACATGTAGGTAATTCCCTGTTGAGGCTTCAGGGCTTTTTTCTTCGTCCATTCCTCATGGTGGGGATCTGCACTGTTTCTTCATGTTGCTGTAGCAGTATGGAGGTGGACCCTCCAGTTCACTATCAGTGTCCCCCTCCTCTCACTGTGAGAGAGGATTCTGGATGAGCTCTGTTGATGGTGGTCTCTTTTTTTCTCTTCAAGAATACTAACTTCCTCTTTGGTGCTCCTGTGAGACTTATGTGGAACCTCTAGTGCAGCTTCAGGGGATATGTTCTTTTACATTAGGCTTGTTCAGATTCTTGTGTTTATGGTTATTTTGGTGGGTTTTGGGAATAATTTGATTTGAGTAGGCCAGTGGACTATTGGTCAAATGGGATTGGGATAGCCAGGCTGTCCTTGTAAGAATTAGCTAATGGAGGCTAAAATATGAGTTCAAAGAGCTATGAAAGGGAAAATTAACTGCGGCCACCTGGGGGGCACACCCCCTCAGACAGGTGTACCTTTGGGGGAGGGGCCCAAGTTGGTGCTGCTCCTGGGTTAGAGTTCTACTTCTGGGGCACTTCTAAAACCGCAGAAGTCTCCTCTGGTCTAGGTGCTCATGTTGGCACCTTAGCCAAGAAGGGGTCTTCTAGTTCGCTGCTGTGGTTGCTTGCTCCATTAGTGTATTGAGGGAGACACCCTCAGTTTCCCCTTGCCATTTTTTTGTCTTTGTTACATATCCCCTTGCCAGTGAGAGAGGAAGCTAGTTTTCTCTTGCCAAATGCTTCATCCCTCCCCATCCACCTAACACATACTTCATCCCCAAGGTCCTGTCTTAACATTTCAGGAATTACCCAGGATCATAAAATTCTGGAGTTTAGGCTCACAGGGAGCCCACATGCCAGAGACACGTGGCTAGAAAGACAAATAAGTGTTATCTTCACATCTTCTGTAATATT